GAAAATTAAACCTTATTTTCAATAAGCAATCCTGAAAAATATTTGGGGGTGCTTAACTTTTTTCCAGGTGTATATATCTGGTATTTACTCCCCTCGACGACATACTTTCACTAACTTATCAGTGTAGGGTAAAGTGAATAGTTGATAACTCTAACATCAAATACATAATACTGTGTTGAATGGCACTTGTAAAAGGTCATGACCCCACCCATGCACATAGGGTTAATACAAAACTAACCAGCAGGTTTTTTAGTTACCTAGTTATTTAAGGATCTTTACTTTCACATAATATTTTCCCTGTTTAGAGACTTCATTTTGTTATACCACCAGGAGAGTTTCACATGTAATGTTAATGGCATGTGTTTTCTAGAATAATTAAATATAAATGTATAAAGTTTTTCTGTCTGTTGATAAAAACAACAACTTAATTTTATGTGTTATCATAAATAACTTTTAAGAGTTTGCTAACTGTATAGAATCAATGTTTTATTTCTTGAGTTACAATGAAGCCTTTCTTTCCTTCAGGTGACAAGACTAACAACTTAATTGGTGTATCAGAAACCCTTGTTGTTACAGCCTTCACTGGTCTGTTGTATTCACTGTTATCTGGACAACCTTTGGTCATCATAGGAACAACTGGACCTGTTTTACTCTTTGATGAAATTCTATTCAAGGTAAAAACTGAAATTGTATAATAGTGTTCAGTAATACCTAAGTGTTAAAACAAAATTTCTTTCATGATTCTTGATTAAATAATGAAATATTTCAGTAACATGTTAGCTCCATAAATACTATAGTTGTTATATTTGTTTAGCTTAGATGCTGCTGTTTGTTAGACAACCTCAGAATTTGAATTAAAACTTCTGTCAATTGGATCTTCTTTAAAACATTTTTGAACAATGTTTTTCAAGTTTTCAGTGCAGATCTCCATCCGGTTAAATTTGTTAAGTTGTGTATTGTTGAAATATAGCCATAACTGAGAACTTGCAGCTCAAAAACATTGACAAAAAACTTGTAAGACAGATACAGTATGCACAATCTCCAATCAAGTACAGTTTTCTCAGCCTAAACTTTCTTTTAAATTTCATAATTTTGATTTATTAGAGATTCTGCAATATTTTGTTATTTTTGTGGAACCATTACACATTGATATTTTGTTATTTCTTGTGGAACCATTACACATTGATAATATTACTTTTTTGTGTATGTATGTATGTGTAGTTTTGCAAGGATCATGATATTGAGTTCTTGCCCATGAGATGTTGGACTGGTTTGTGGGTGGCCATTATAGCAACTTTAGTTGTGGCATTTGAAGGTAGTTCCCTTGTGCGTTTCTTCACACGTTTCACCCAGGAAATCTTTACTTCTTTGATCTCCTTGATTTTCATCTTTGAGAGTTTTTCAAAGTTGTACAAGGTAAGCTGATATTTCTAAATTCAAATTGTTTTTTTTTTTTCGGTTGAAACTTTTACGATTGAATAATTGCACGAGAACTTTTTATTTACATATTTTTTTAATCCTAAAATTTCCAACCTGGTTTCATACTGTACACTACTAGTTAGGATTGAGTATTTCTTAAAAGTGAATAATTTTATATTTTTGTTTGTTGCAACCCTTAATGTAAAAAGATTATTTTAAAACAATGGATAAATCACTCATCTCTATAAAATACACAGAGAACTGCAGCAGTAATTAGTGGGATTAATTTCAATATTGATACTATTTTTTGTTTAAATTGTATTCTTTCTATTACTAATGTTATCAAAGATTTTAAACAATATATCTGTTTGGAGAAATATTTCAAATGTCATATTTCTAGGGTTAAAAAATAATAAATTTTGTATTACATATGCACAATTATTTGAACTATACAAATTTTGATTTCATAAAGTATAGATAATAATATACTTATATTCTGATATATTAATATATAAATATAATGAAAATATCGTCTAGAGGACAACAAAAGTAAATTGCCTATTAATCTACTGTTGTGAATGTTTTTTCATGGTTTAAACAACGTATTGACTGTAAAAGTCTTCAAGATTTGAAAGTAAATTTGAACACCACAATAGATTTTTTGTTTTATAATTTTTAAGTTTTGTATATAGTTAAACATCTTAAAGGTTCTTACATGGTTTTACCTACCAGCTGGTTTCTGTAAAATTTCAGGTTTTTGTAAACCACCCACTGTTAACAGACTACTGCACAAATGACACAGCACAAGCATCACTTTTCAATTCTACTGGAGATCATTTGAAGCCAACTAATATTCCTGGTTTAGTTGACAACTCAACAGACTTTCTTCGATCTAATGATACAATTGCTAACATAGTTAACAATATTGATCCCCACGAAGTTAAGCTTCCAAAAAACCAGCCAAATACAGCCCTGTTGTCAACTGTTATGATGATTGGTACATTTTTGATAGCTTACTACCTCAGACAGTTCAGAAACAGCAAATTTCTTGGAAGAAGTGTAAGACTTTGTTTTAATATTATATCATTGTAAAGTGTATACAAGAAATGATAATTATCTTTTATAAATTTTGTTTCATATATATGTACATTTGTGTATATATATACGCACCCATGTGTAAATGCACACACACTATTTTACCAAATGTTTTTGAGTGAGTACAATCACTGTTAGTAATGGGTCTTTAACCATTGAATTTGCATAAAAACCCATAGTATACTCCTGTTAGGACTTAGACATCTGATATCAGTAGCTGATAATCAAGAAGCCATGAGGCAGAACACTCACTAATAGTGAAAGAGGAATTGTTACTTGATTCACTATTACAACTTACCTATTTAAATCTAGGTAATGAGCTGAAGACATGGGCTGCCTAAATTTTGTTACTTCTCGTTCCATTCAAACTTTTGAAATACATTTTTAAACAAATACATACACCAATCAGTGTTTAAGTGAGAGCTTAAAACTCAAACTCAACATATATATATTGTACTTGGAAAATTCTAAGCTCTTATGAACAAGGAATAGACCACAGCCATGTTTGTTAAAGTATCTCTCACAGCGCCTTAAGCATACAAACTAATGTGAAGATCAATAGAAAAACCATTAGGTTAAAAGTGGAAATGTTATAAAGTTACCCTAAAATGTTATTGATCCTTTACTTTGTAAAAAACAATGATACTCTGTTCTACTGAACGTATGCCAAGGGTTTATTGTAAGTGTTAGAAACAGAGTCTTGCTTTGCTCACTTATTAAAATCCAAACCAAAACATTATGTTCTACCTTGTCAGTTTGTAATAATCATATATTTTAAAATTTAAATCTACTCATCTTTTTTTGTTACTGTAAAAAAAAGTGTCTAATCTGTGGCACCTTGTGTTGCAAGAAGCACATGAGGCAAAAACATGAAACATGCCTATCATTTAGAAACCATCACATGTGGTACACAAAATTTGTTTTGAATTTCCACACATAAAAAAATATTTAGTATCTGAACATTAGTAGAAGGATACTTGAGTATAAAAACTAATGTTCTTGAATTGTTTTGTGTGTGAACACTATTGGTAAAATACTTGAGTATGATTCTTTAATGTTCTTAAGTTGTCTTGTATGAACTTTCTAACATGAATACTTGAGTATAAATCTATAACATTTCTAAGTTTTATATGTGAATACTTGAGTGTAAATGTATAACATTTCTAAGTTTTATATGTGAATACTTGAGTGTAAATCTATAACATGTCTAAGTTTTATATGTGAATACTTGAGTGTAAATCTATAACATCTGTAAGTTTTATGTGTGAACACTATGTGAATACTTGAGTGCAAATGTATAACATTTGTAAGTTTTATGTGTGAACACTACCATGTGAATACTTGAGTGTAAATGTATAACATTTGTAAGTTTTATGTGTGAACACTACTATGTGAATACTTGAGTATAAATGTGTAACATTTGTAAGTTTTATATGTGAATACTTGAGTGTAAATCTATAACATTTCTAAGTTTTATATGTGAATACGTGAGTATAAATCTATAACATTTGTAAGTTTTATGTGTGAACACTACTATGTGAATACTTGAGTGTAAATCTATAACATTTCAAAGTTTTATATGTGAATACTTGAGTGTAAATCTATAACATTTCTAAGTTTTATATGTGAATACGT